GATGAGAAGGGGAAGGAAAAGTGTCACTACAGCCTGTAGCCACGGGTGTCCCCAGGACTAAGGGAGAACCAGAGGGAGACACAAGTGGTTCAGCATCTCATCACCACACTAAGGAGGAATCAGGGGCTTAGCCTGGTTAAGCCTGAGAAGAGACGCAGCAGGTACCAGGGCTTTTGTGGAAGCCAGGTGAGGGGGCCAGAAGGTGAGGATGAAAAGGAGCTCTAGAAGGGGGATCTTATCCACCGGAAAGGCTTGGTAAACAGAGTCACAAAATCCACAAGGACTTATAGGAGATGTGGGATTATGGGCAGCTCCAAGGGTGGAGATAGGGGGTCGGGTGAAGAGGGCCAGCTATGTTCTTCAAGACAGTGGCTGAGGGGCTGGAGAGATGGCTCAGAGGTTAAGAGGTCTTCCAGAGGTCCTGAGTTCAATTCCCAGCAACCACATAGTGGCTCACAACCATCTATGAGATTTGGTGCCCTCTTCTGGAGGGCAGGCATACATGCAGGCAGAACACTGTATACATAATAAATAAATAAATAAATAAATAAATAAATAAATAAATAATTTTTTAAAAGACAGTGGCTGGGGATACCTCTACCTCCAAGAGTACCAGAGGGGTGCCAGGTGCTCAATGGTCACTTCCTTGGACTCAGGGAAGTGTTTACACCGACCCAAGGGGAAACTTAACTAATCGCCGCTGGTGGATGGGGTGCTGAGCCATCAGTGAGCTGGAAGGTAAGTCTTTTGGAGGTGGGCCCGAGATGAGGGATAGAGTCCCAGTGTGGCTCTGACCCCAAGGGGGAGTACAGGCACCAGGAGAGCCCATCCGTGTCCCGGAATCAATGTAAGTGTTACAGCTCTGAGGGGAAAGGTATCGTGACAGTAAGGAGCCGAGGAATACCACAGAGTCACACTGTACAACAAACCTCCCAGAGGAGATTTATTAGGAAAGACACAAGAGGGTGGCCGCCTCTGTCAGGCAAAGCAGCAGCAAAGGACTAAGCAGGAGACTTCATGGGGCTGGGATGAGGCTTTCCAGGGTGGCCTGGCCACTCTTGCCCCTTGAGGGGCTGGAAATGGTGAAACCAGACCCCAGGAGCCAGCCTGAGCTGACCTGGGAGCCCCGGAGCAGTCTGACCTCGTGACTTGATAAAGGTCAAGTTTGTGCTCTCTCTGCACAGCGACCTCACCAGGCCTGTACACGCCTCCTCTAAAAAAACTCCTAAGCGGGTTTGTTGTGTTGTTTCGTGTTGGCTTCTCACTCGTGCCAGGTCGTACCAGGTAATTTCGGGTACTCTACCCACTAAGCCATACCCCTTAGGGACTCTTCTCTGGACGCCAGCTGGAGCCCATTGGTTTTTTCCTGCCAAAAGCCAGGCTGAGTCCCTTTCTTTCTTTTCCTTTCCCTCTCCCTCTCCCTCTCTCTCTCTTTTTTTCCCCAAAATAAATCATGTGAAAACTTGGGTGATGGTAGTGTTTTGTTTGTGTGTTGTTTTTGAGACAGGGTTTCTCTGTGTAGCCTTGACTGTCCTGGAACTCACTTTGCAGACCAGGCTGGCCTTGAACTCAGAGATCCATCTGCCTGCCTCTTCTGAGATCAAAGGTGTGTGCCATCGCCACACCACCACCGGCAATTTTGATGTTTTCTACAGAGCGGTCAGGTGCTTGAGTCTCATCTCAGTGTGGGATGGCTCAGACCTGCCATCCCAGCACTGGGGAGGCTAAGGCAGGAGGATCTAAAGTTTGAGTCCATCCTGAGCTACAGAGTGAGTTAAACAGATTGAGATGGAAGGAGGGGGCTCCTTAGGGAAGGGGAGGGAGACACAGCAGAGGGTGGGAGAAAGGTAATGGAAAGCAGAGGAGGAAGAGTTCTGTTAGGGAAAAAGGGAGGCCCCCCCAGGGAAGGGGGAGGGAGGTAAAACAACAATACAGATGGGTTAAAAAGCCACAAGAAATTAAAAAAAAAAAGTCAGGTTTGATGCTGGGAATTAACTAAGCATTGAGCCCCTTCCATTCACCAAGTTGAACCCAAGAGGGGTGACAGTCCACCCAGGGCACATTCGAGACCATTCGAGACCATTGTTCCTTGAACTTCTATATTCACGGCTTCATGAGTTTCATGGTCCAACTCTTTTTTCTTTTTCCTTTTTAAATCTTCACTTAGGTGACTGCCTCAAATACACTCTTTGGACTAAAGTAGCGTATATGTGAAATGGCATAAATGAACATTTGCCCTCCGGGCCTCAATTAAGTCTCTCAGCCTTCAAGGGGTCACCATGACCACAGTTTTTACAGATGGGGAAACAGAGTGGGAAGGTCCACAAGAGTTCCCCCAAGCACCATGACAGTGACTGAGTCATGGCTAGAACACAACTGCAGATTCCCAGGTCAACCCGTCTCTCTCAACAGTATAGGCGGACCAGTACAGTCAGCACTCAGGAATACACTGGGCCCTGTTCGATGTTTCTGCCTCTGTTACCAACCTTCACTGAGGCGTGATGCCTCACGCCAGCTACTGTCCTGAGCATGCTACGTGTACAGCCTCACACAATCTCCTCAACACAAAGCAGGTCCCCATGTTTCCCCTGCTGTAGAGACGAGGAAACAAACTAACCTGTATACTGTCAAATAAAACTGGTCAACAGCCTACTCAATTCTGAAGGGCTAACAATGACATTGCAGCCAGGAGGAAAGCCGTCTTGAGCCCTTGCCATATGCCAAGTTGAACCCAAGTAGGATGACACAGTCCACTCAGAGAACACACTGTGGACAGCCAGCTAAGGTCACCTTAGCCTGACACCTGGCCAAGCACTGAGGACCCTTGGAGACAAACCCTGCAAACCCTGCCCAAGGGGAGCTTGCTGTCAGTGCGCGGTGAGTCACACAATACTCTGCAGGGTAAAGCGCTCTGACCTGGGAAGTAGCAGAGCGGAAGTAAAGGACAGATGGGTACAGGCACAGATTCATGGGGTGGCCAGACAGGCTCCGAGAAGGGACCTGATGGGTCAAGTGACTGAATCACTGGATGAAGGAATACATGGAGATCTCTGAGCATCTATTTCTGGAGGTGATGGGAAGGGAGTAGGAAAGCGGAGGGAAAGGGGGAACCTTCCTTTATGAGAGAGGACACTATCCACTGGGAAGGGAATCTGGAGGGAACAAAATGGCAGAGCCAGAGCAAGTTCCTCCCTTCTCCTCTTGATGACCTTGGACTCCAGGGTTTAGGTCAACAGTTTCCTCAATCCCCCATCTTTTGGCTTCAGATTGAGCACCACACTGCTAGCTTTGTGTTTCTGTGGCTTAGGCTTGGACTAAACCACCCAGATGCCTCCCTGGGGCCATGGAACTGAACTGAAGGGAAAAGAAGCAGGACCTAGCCAGAGATCATGCAGGGTTCAAGGCCATGGTCAGAGTGTAGACCAGGCTGGGAAGATGGCTCAGAAGGTGAAGTAGCTTGCCACTAAGCCACTAAGCCCGACGACCTGGGTTCGATCACTGGGATCCAAATGGTAGCAGAGAATCAACGCCTACAAGCTGTCCTCTCCCCTTCACATATGCTATGCTGCCCCTCCCCCTGCCTGATAATTGGCTTCTAAAGTGGTAGAAGGAAGGCTGTGGACAGATGGGTGGCTCCTGATGGGGAAGCTTTGCTAACCAATTATCTTTAAGAGGTGGAACCAAGTTAGGGTGCAGCTTTCTGGGACCCGGAGAGCCCTCTCAGTGGTCCCTCACAGCACGGCTGAGCTTGGACTTCTCGGTCCTGATTCGTGAGTTTCCCCCTTATAATAAATAAAAATATAATTTCTTTATCTTTTACCTAGCCTGGCTATTTCCCGAATCGAGCTAACTTCTACAGGCTCTGACAAGGGTGGTAAGGAACTGTCAACTCTGGGAGATATGCTGATTAACTGGACGGGAAATTGTAGCACGAATTCTAATTGGTCTTAATAATAAAAAAAAAAAAAACGGAGTCAAATATTAGGGGGCGAAAGCTGAAAGAGCAGAAAAGCAGAGCAGCCACCAGTTCCTACCTCTACAAAATCCTCAGACTCAATGGGGCATCCTGTCTCTACAAGTCCTCAGACTGAATGCTTTCAGTTCCTGTCTCTTCCCACCTTATATTTCTCTTTCCACCCAGTAATATTTCTTCCTGTCTCTACCTCCCTAGTGCTTGGAGTAAAGGCGTGTGACTCCCAAGTACTGGGATTAAAGATGTGAGCCGCCACCACCACCTGACTCTGTTTCTCTTTGAGACTTGATCAACCAGTGTAGCTCAAGGAGTCCTTGAACTCACAGAGCTCCATCTGCCTCTGCTCCCAAATGCTGGGATTAAAGATGTATGCCACTACTGCCTGGTCTCTGTGTCTAACTGGTGGCTGGCTCCACACTCTGATCCTCAGGCAAGCTCTATTATAGTACAAACCAAATATACAGGAAACGCACTAGCTTTGGGTACCAGTCACTGCATTATCATCTGCAGGAGGCTGAGAAGTGACCGAGGCTGGGGCTCCCAGAAACATATCTGAAAGCTCCTTGCTCTCATTTTCCTCAGATAGGAGTTCCAGAGAAGGGGAAGGCAGGTCACTGTCATACAACTACCAGAAAGGAAAGTTCCAGGAGGAGTTGGAGGATACTACCTTGCTTCCCAGGATGCACCCGGCTTGAGCCCCTTTGGAAATCCAGGATCCCCAGAACTGCCTGAGAACCAATTTCTACTAATGAAGGACTTGACCTCCAGAGAGCTGAGCCACTGTCCCTGAGGCTCAGGCAGGTAGCTCTCTGAGAACAAAGCCCTTTGGGCCCTTCTTTTCCAAGCCAGATCCCGCGGCTCAGAGGCTACACTTAAGTCCTACTCAAGCCAGAAAAATTCACCAGCGATTCTCCAGGGACTTCCGGGAACATTTTCAAGGTGTTCACCGTCACTCACACAGGGGCAACGGCCCCTCCAAACCCCAGCTCTGCCCTTTGAGAATATGCACAGCCTTGAGCATGCTCACCTGCTTCTCCGTAGCTTCTGTCTCACTGAACAGAAATCCACACAAAAAGGGCCGAGTGCAGCGCAAGGGCTTCATCCTCCATGGGAAATCTGAGAAGCCACAGCCCCAAGTCTGAGAGTCGGGGTTCTTCAGACAGATGGATCAACAAGAGAGACAGGGAATTTATTGGGAGAATTGGCTCACATGATTTTGGAGGTTCATCGGTGTGATGATAGGCCTCTGCCAGAGAGAGACCCTTGTGGGCAGCTCTGTGGTCCATTACAAGCCTAAGGGCCTCAGAACCAGGGAAACCTGGTGTGATTCCCAGTCCAAGGCTGAAAACTGGAGAGACCAACAGCTGCTGGAGTCCCAAAGACAGACAAGCTAGAGTCTTGATGTCCAAGGGCAGTAATGTCCCAAACCTGGGGGAGAGGAATTTACTCTCTGCCTTTTTGCTTGTTCCAGGCCCCTATCCCATTGGACAGTGCGCACCATACTGATGAACGGACCTTTCCCCGTCACCTGTCTCTTCCAGGGACAGCCTCTAGGCCCTCAAAAGTCATGCAGGGGCAGGAGTGTCTTAATCCTTTTAGGGTAACACACAAAATTAGCCATCACAATGACCCAGCCATGACCTCAGAGTCAGCCTCAGCTTGAGTCTGGTTAGTACCCTCTGGAGGTTGTGACCAGATTCATGCTCTAGGGCACAGCCAAACACTTGACAGGTGTCACTGGAGTGACAGAGGTGCCTGTGGAACTCTCCATGGTCCTGAGCCTGCCTGAGCTGATCAGGGTCCTATTTGGGACCCAGGATGCCCTTGGCTGGCCTTGTCCTGGCTCCTGCTAACTGGCCTCTGCTATAGTTCAGCTGGTTCATGGCCTAACAGTCATTCCCCTGTATGATACCCAATGGCTCTGTCTCCATCTCCCTCTCCCTCTTGATGCCAGATTTCTGGTGTCCTCAGTTCCGGGCTAGCAATGAGGTCTTCAAGTATTCCAACTGGGAGAAGGGGCCAGAATCCACCATGGCAGAGAAATGGGCAGGCCGACAACCATGGGCAGTATTGGGTTGTGCATGAAGCGGAATTGGAGATAGCCCAGGTTACCTCAGATCCCATCTGCAAAATGCAGCTCAGAAACACTTTCAGAAATGAACACCCCCGCCCCCCCGCAACTTGGGCAGTGATAGCACAGGTCTTTAATCCCAGCACTCAGGAGGCACAGGTAGGCGGATACCTGTGAGTTCAATAACAGCCTGTTCTACAGAGTGAGTTCCAGGACAGTCTCCAAAGCTACACAAAGAAACCCTGTCTCAAAAACAAACAAACAAAACAAAACAAAAAACAAAGAGGGGGAAAAAAGGAAAGAAAAAGAAATGAACCCCTGACACCTCTATCTTCTCGGTCCATCTGCTCAAAAGAGTATCTTGACCTTGAGCTGGGGTCCACCTTTGTGCTTACTTTCCACCCTATTCTAGGCTTGCACAAGGTTCCCTAGGACTCTGCCCATATCTGAGAGCAGAACTGGGGGGCCTGTGACAAATCTGCATGCCCAGCAGTCCCTGAGGCACAAGGCGCAAAGGTCTATATACTGCCTGCAGCCTCAAGGAGTTTCTCTACCTCCTGTGCCTTGATTTCTCCTTTCATTGGTGTATGGGAAGGGCTAGGAAGCCCGCCCAGGCACAGAGTAGGTGCTCAGTGAGTAGTACTAGCTTTCACGGTTACTGTTAAATCTGGAAATTTGGTGCTGTGACTTAGCTGTGTGCTCTCAGGCAAGTTTTCTTTGCTTTTCTGAGCCTGTCTTCTTGGGTGAAAAGAGGTTACCCTCTTTGCAGTTCTGGCGGTGACCTGAAGAAAACATTGTATCAAAGCATTCTCCAAGGAGCCTGGTGCTGGGGTCTGCTCTGCAAATGCTCACTTTGGTGGGTCTCCTGCCAGACAATGGGACGCAGATGTCCCACTGAGTATGCCTCGTTCTGGCAGGTTTTGGTAAATGTCTGGGCCAAACAGGCTCTGCTTACCATGGAGACTGACACCCATCACCCTGTAGGATCATTTGAGTGACTTAAGAGCCTTCAGGACCCGGGGCCAGACCTTGAGGAATCTCTGGTCTCCCCTCTTGCTGCAAAGGCCCTGGAGTGGGAATGCTGCCCTGTGTGTGAGAAGACTCAATGGACAGTATTTGCTGCATAGGCATGAGAACTTAAGTTTGATCCCCAGCACCTATGTAAAAAGACGGACACAGCTCTATGTGCCTGTAACCCCAGAACTGTGAGAGTCAGGCAGTTCTCAGAGCAAGCTCAACAGCCAGCATAGCCAATGAGAAAACTCCAGGCTTCATGAGAGACCATAACTCAAAAGATAAGGTGGTGGGTGATTGAAGATGTTGACTTCTGGCCTCCATATGCACACATACATAGGTACATGCACACATACTCATGCATATAACACATGCACACCCCACATACAATAATATAAATAAATAAGGATGCTGCCCAAGCCTTCATCCCAGGCCAGTGCCCTGCAGGGTGCCTTGGTCTCCACTCATCCAGTTGGCAGCACATCCCTTGCAGGTCCTTTGGATTCCTGGAGATTCTTCGTGATTCATGGAAATCAGGCTCTCTGGAGTTTCCATGACTAATTCCTGTTTCTATTTTGGGATTAAAGTAGAGAAAGTCAGAGTCTCTGGGCTTAGAAGAAAGTAAACACCTTCCCTGGTCTCTGAGGAGACATGGGGATCCTCCTGACTTGAAGCTTAGTGATCCCATGTGTAACAACAGGCAGAGCCTGTAGTAACAGAACCCAGTTGACTCCTGAAGTCGGTGGAACTTGAGGAAAACCTGACACTGGATTTATCCTTTCCGTTCTCATCATTATCCACTCCCTTGATGAGTACGCATCGGGCTGGGCTCCACAGAGATCATAGTTATATATAGCGATACAGTGTTGGGGAGACACAGAAAGTGGTAGGGTGGGGGGTTGGAGTGGTGCAGCTGCATTAAAATAACATTTGGCACCCAACATGGGGCATGACCACGGCAGCTGACACTAGTCAGCTCTGTCACAGCTGTGGTACTCACAGCAGGTGGCTGCCACTTGCTGGGACTCTGGAAAGCAGGCAGGCTTGGGCTTGAAAACTGTGGGAGGGGCTTGAGTTCACTGCCTACACCACCAGAGAGACTACCGAGAAGTCAGTGGATCTGGCGAGATACCTGGGAAGTCCTTTAATAGAGAGTTAACTAATATTAAAAAGAAAAATCTTTCCTACATTAAGAATGGGGAACATGACAATGCAGGGTGCTAGGATCCTGTATAGTGTTACTATGGATGGCTTGAAAATGGGAAATTTAAATGAGGGGATAAATGACTAAGCTGGGGTTGACATAATGTTGATTATACTTATTATGAGTTTGATAATTAATATTTTATCCTTAAAAAAGTGGTTTGATAACTGAGCCAAATATGATAATTTGGCTGATAAGATACAACCTTTAGAAAGACCTACTAATGAAAATAAGAAAAATACTCAGACTCAGACAAAGGAATTTAAAGCAGAACCTACTGCATCATTGCATTATGAAACTAAAGAGGAGTGTCCTACAGTTATTAGAACACCAACCTTAATTTATCCCATTACCATACAAGAACAATCACCAGATGATAGGCACCTCCAAGGCTCTGCGGAAGTTAATTGGAATCCTGTAGAGATGTTAGATTTGAAGAGATAGGAAGCAGGTGTTTCGTATGGTGTGCATTCACCCTTTGCGAAACAGATGTTAAATTCATGGGCCACTAGGAACAGAATTATCCCACAAGGCTGGAAAGATATAGTTGCAGCAGTATTGGAAGCTGGTCCTCAGTTACAGTGAAGATAGATGACAGAGTAGTTCCTCTAAAGTTGCTAAATACAAGTGGACTGGACACTGTGAATGTAATCCTTACTTGAAAATTGTTCTTATTGTACATAGTTTTATTGTATTAAAACTAAAAACCTTTCATTTTTATTTAGACAATACCTAATCATTGTTCCTCTTGTGTATAGTTTTACTGTGTTAGAGTTAAAACCTTTCCTTCTTATTTAGACAAAAAGAGGGAAATGTTGAGGGATATTCAACCACACTGTGAACCCTGAGTTTGCATTTGCATTGATTAAATAAAATTAACCTTGGATCAGGAAGTTGCATTAGCAACTATTTGACAGAAAGGAATCATAGAGCATCAGAGGAGAGATAGAGAAACATAAGAAGTGGCAGGGTGAGGTTTGGAGTGGAGCAGCGACCGTGCCGAAGTTAAAACAACAATATGGTTTCACTCCACGGCCCATATATCATCCAGGTTCCTAAGCCTTTGTAAGGTCAAGCTCTGATGCTTCAAATGCCAGAGACAAAGTAGGGACTGGCTCCAGGGCCAAGCCACATGCCATGCAAGAGAATGAATCTAATGAAAGCTCAGAGTAGCCAGGCATCCTTCGATAGCTAGTAGGCAAATCTGAACACTCATCAGAGGGACTGTAGGCCGGGGTCCTGCCCCAGGATAAACACAAATATCCTGGCTGAGGAAAGCCATGGCTATTAGGTCTAACTCCCAGAAATTATTCGCTGGCTTACCCAGAGGGAGGGTCTGCTCCAAGGGAAAAGGTGTATGTAGCCAAGGGCATCAAGGACACCAGCCCCCTCGGATGATCTTTGCCAATCCTGTTTCCCATGGTCAGCTGTCACTGTGCCCCTATGTGGGTAAAGACATCAAGTCTAGAGAGGGTGGGCAGTTTTTGCTCCAACCAGTGCTCTGGAGCAATGGTGCCCAGGCCACCCAGATCCCACAGAGGCACCCAGCTCCCTTAGCTGCCTCAGTTCCAGAATGAAAGCCTCACTGACAACTCTCAATCCCATACCTACCCTCAGGTAAGCCCCGTCCCTGCTTGCTACCCCCAAACCATCTGTACCCTGACTGTCTCCTTCCTCCAAATCCTCCTCAGTCTGACCTCAGCATCCTGCGGGATGCCTCAGAATTCTCTCACAGAGAGACTGACAAGTACTCAGGAGAGCTGCCCTGCCGGGACTCTGCCCCTTCCCAAATCCTATTCAGCACATCAGCTTCTGTCCTGCAGAAACCCAAGGACAGTGGCGATATAGGACAATCCTACCAGAGCTGGAGGCCAGACAGATCAGTCATAGCAATAGGCTGCTCAGCGGCTTTCGTGGCTTCCACTGCGAGCAATGAAGCAGTGACTATGGAGGGACTTCCATGACTCACCCATGCTAAAAGTAACAGTTACCATTCACTGCAGCCTTAAAGGTATGCCAGGCATCAGCTAGGGGCTTTCTACCTGATTTCCCCCCACGGTTATCATCAGAGATAGAGCTGCCCTACCATCTTACTGAGGACACTGAGGCTCAGAAGGGTCAGGCAGTTACATTCACCTGTGCAGATTCACTGCCCTCCTGGGCTTGCGACCCACACAGCTCCCTCCTAAGTGGTGGGGAAAGCAGCAGGCCTTGGTCACAGGCTTCAGGAGGCTGTGAGCAGGATGAACCTA